GGTCCTATGTGACATTGAGTCACTTGTCCCACACCATCCATCCAAGGTGTTCCCTTCTGGTGCATCCCATGCCAATGAATTGAAATCCCTTCAGAGGTAAGGTTGTTCTGAACATGAATTACAACCCTTTGTTCTTCGTGGACAATCAAGGTAGGTCCAGGAATTTGTCCATTGACGGCTATTCCCATACGGTACGTTTTACCATCTACGAACTGGGGGTTAGTGCAATTGGAGCTGTCCAATGTTGCACAACTTCGATCGATTTGTAGTGGCTGAGGTGTTCCGAGATCATCGAAATAATAGATCACTCCCTGGGATCCACGCATAGCTATTCCTGTAGGTTCATCCACCGATAACTTCTGATAGCTGGTGAAGGTTCGAATTTCGTCAATTTCAAGGTTAAATGTACAGACGACTGCATATCTCACGCATTCACACGATGGATTACCGTACTCACAATTGACGGTTTGTTCAAATGCCGATGTTAGTTCGACTTTCGTTTTCTTAGCGCCAAACCACTTGTCAAGGTGTGGATCACTTGTCAGGTCCATGTACTCCACTTCACCAGTCTTAAAAGAAGTGCTAAATGATTCTATGTACCACCTTTTGTTTCCTCGAGGATGAGCTTTTAGGTAAACTTTCTCGATGTCGGATATAGAGACGCACTCTGTGGTCCTAAACCAGCTTCGGAAGTTCAGCTCTCGCTTATACTGGTTTGATTTAGTAGGTTGACCTTCAAGTTCTGCTTGAAGGCTTTGGTCGTGTAATTGGATACGTAAAAAGAAGGTTTCCAAGGACCTACGTGGACTGATTTGTCCCATCACACGTATGTACGTGATACAGGATCCGGCGATAGCATTGGTGAGGAGGTGCTCTGTGGCATCGTATGGGTATTTGCGTTCCTTATTGCCATCCACGAACATACTGAAACCTGGATCAGCGGTAAGCTGAGTGTATTCGGCACTTTCCGATTCCTTGGTGTAGGTGTTGATCGATGCAACGTACCATCGTTTATTTCCTAAAGCCATGAGATAAACTTTTCGTATGTCTTTACGAGTGCAGTCGAGTTGTGGGTCAAAATCACTTTCGGTGTTGAACTCTTTCTCGTATCGCTGTAATTTCCTTTTCCTGCCCTCTCTTTTCAGCTTTGCTAGGTGCTCAGAGCCATCATTCAGAACGATCTTCAGTTGTAGACGATTGTTATTAGGTTTCAACATTGCGACAACCTTTACAAAGGCGATGGATCCTAAGAATAGAGAATAAGCAAAAGACATTTTGTTGCGTTGTAAAACATGCAAGAAGCCAGCGCTTCTGTTTCATATCAAATGCCAAGATTTGATATTTGCAAGAGATTTTAGAGGCTTTAATCTTCGAATCGGATTACTTAGGCTTTTCATCCATACTTTCTAGGAAAGGCTCACAAATATGAACGTCCTACACAAGTGATCAAATTACATGTTTAATGTCGAAGATCGTCAAAGGTGCATCCAAACTGCAAGCAGTAGCTTTTGACACCAGGCCTCTGTGTTTCTTCCTTCAATAGTTTCATACAAGGAATAAATCTTCGTCTCTCTGCCATGGCTCATACGCTGTCTTTCATTACTCTCGCTGTTCCAGAATTATATGCGACGCGTTTTCTCTAACTTTAGAGAAAATAGCTAGAAGGGATCTACCTTCAAATTTACATATCCAATGCCAAAAGTAAGAAATCGGGAACAGAGAAAAATAATTGATGATAAAGATATCGCTTTACCTGGCTCAAGAGGCTTTACAAAAATAAAAATCAAATATCAAGGTGTTTCGATACAGTTTTTCAGAGGCGATACCGATATTTTTCAATGGCCTTAAAAGTGTTTTTTTCCTTGTCCGTCATCGCTATGGAATTTTCACCAGTAATTGGCTATGGATTGAAATTTGTGAAAATGTAGTTTTAAGTAAAATCGATACTACTATGACAACAATAAACTGAAATTGATAAAAAGCCGAATTTTGTGTGATCTAGACCAGCTACTGAAAATCAAACACTAGGAACTTAAAGTTTGGTGTTTAGCAAACAATCTCCGTAAGAAGTAAAAAATTCTGTATGTTTGAATTCGACTAAAACGAAAATATATTTCAAACCTTAAATTTTCAATAGCCGTGATAGATTATTTAATAAAAACGTTCTAAATGACTCAAATTATTCTTAAGTAGCGTTAGAATGATGCTTAGTATCATATTTTGATGCTAAGAAATTTTGGTGTACTTTCGTTCATGCGATCGTGAAATCTAAATTCTCACCACCTGAATAAGTGCAACTTCATTCAGATTTTGGACTTTTAGAGCTTTCTTGTATATCTCCGAAACGAGTCAAACGAATTTTTTTAAAATCTCTTCACATAATCTTCATAATGTATATAAAAATTTCTGAAATTTTCATTAAGATTGATTCACTGGAACACCTTGAAATTTCAAGACAAACCTATCCTACGAACCGGTCAAAAATCTGCGTTACAACATTCACTGTTTTGACGTTATGGAACCAGTTTTTCCAAAGTAATGCGGACAATAGATATATCCATGACTAGTACATTTCAGTGTGAGTATTGTCAATGTCTTACATTCAAAAGATGCGATAAATTCAAAGTAAAATGTACTAGTCATGGAGGTATGTATACTGCGCATTATTTTGGAAAAATTAGCACGACGTCAAAACAGTGAATGTTGTAGCGCAGATTTTTGACCGGTTCGTAGGATAGGTTTGTCTTGAAATTTCAAGGTGTTCCAGTGAATCAATCTTAATGAAAGTTTCAGACATTTTTATATACATTATGATTTTAAAAAAATTCGTTCGAGTCGTTTCACAGATATACAAGAAAGCGCTAAAAGTCCAAATTCTGAACGAAGTTGCACTTATACACATGGTGAGAAAACGGGTTGGTTTTCAAGATCGCAAGAACGAAAGTACACCAAAATTTCCTAGCATCAAAATATGATATTAAGCATCATTCTTACGTTACTTAAGAATAATTTGAGTCATTTATAACGTTTTTATTAAATAATCTATCATTGAAAATTTAAGGTTTGAAATATATTTTCGTTTTAGTCGAATTCAAACATACAGAATTTTTTACTTCTTACGGGGATTGTTTGCTAAACACCAGACTTTAAGTTCCTAGTGTTGGACTTTCAGTAGCAGGTCTAGATCACACAAAATTTGGCTTTGATCAATTTCAAAGTTTTTTGTTTATTGTTGTTATAGTGATATCGATTTTACTTAAAACTACATTTCTATAGCCAATGACTGGTGAAAATTTTATAGCGATCGGACCAGGAAAAAACCACTTTTAAGACGATCGAAAAACATCGGTATGGCCTCTGAAAAACTGTATCGAAACACCTTAAAATAGTGTTAAAATAATGTTAAGATAGAAATGCAAATAGTAAAGGGAGGTTAAAAATCTAAACCTATTTACACGTCAAAAGATGAATGTATATGATAACAGTGTAAAAATTTTGCTTTGTAACATAGGGTCTCAAAGTTAATTATTACGAAGCATGCAATTTCTACAGCCATCCTCGATTAAGGCACTCAGGTCTGTTCTCCTAATTTCAGTCTTAAATCTGCGCAGACTATCCTCGGCACGTAATTCCCTTGTAAGTTTCGACAAGAGGAAAGGACCATAGTGTCTTAATGAATGCTTCCCATATTTAATCCTATTAAAACGAGGCAGATTGAAATCCGTAGTACCGCTGAACTGGTGATAGAAAATAAGAACTGTGACTTACAGGAAATTCAGTTAACAAAAGGGGTATGTAGAGTTATAGCTCCTACTCCACCTTCTCATTAGACGGATGGGGAGTTGATGTGGGTTGAAAAAGGGGAAGGTAAAAAAACTTGAAGTTTAAGGGAACCACGACTTAGTGCCAATCTAAGGTAGCGCTCTACAAGGACGATGCCTTTTTGTTTAGTTTAGCTGGTTGGCTTTTCGGTGTCCTTTTTGGTTGATCAATCATTTAAAAAAACTTTTAACCCGCCTCAAAAGGCCGCGGTCATTGTGGCGAAATGGTTTGTGTGTTGTCAAATTGAGAAAAGCTCCGTCAAACCAACAGACGTCTGCGTTGCTCATATATTTTGTTGTGTAGTTATTTGTTAAGCTTTAGCATTTAGAAAGAACAATTGGGGTTGAGGTCGCTGGCACAACGATAGCTTCCAGCTTACACCCCTATGTCTATTTACAAGTCATCTTTAGTGGATGTAGCGAATTTCAATTAACTGGAATCGAATCTCTTGCGTTCACTAGTATTCTTAAGAAAGACTGAAGATGAAAGTCAAAGACTTGTATTAGTCAAGAGATAAAAAACCAATTTCCAACGGCCTGATGATAGGTTGGGGGTAGAAAATGTACCAGCGTGAGGTTTCCTTCCTAACATTCAAAACTTTAAAACATTGCGACAATACGTTCCAATGCAGCCTCCGATAAAAAATGAGGATATCAAATAGATGATGCGATTTAAGTACCTCTCAATTTTGTCAACGTGTTGCTTAACCACTAGAATCAACAGTGAAAACGTTCTTTGTTGCTTGCATGGATTCACATAATGCACCAGTGGATTAATTATTCAAAGAAGTTGAAGGTCTGGGCCGGATTTTTCGAAGCTGGGTTAAGATAATCCGGGTTTAGTGCGAAATTTGATCTCAGATATAAAAGCTGAAAAAGTAAATTCAGTTTAATTCTTTTCGTCTACAATTTGATGATAAGATACCCTAAAAAGAATAGAAAACACTACCCGAGGAAATGCTGTTGATCAAAAGAAAAAGGAACCCGGATTAAAATTTAACCCCGGGTTAGCGCTAATCGGACTTCGAACAACTGGGCCCTGAAGAGGGGTCTGGAGTTTACTCTGGTGAACATCTGAATGATCCGCAAAGTAAAACAATCGGCGAAACTGATTTTATTTAACTTTCGTTATGTAGGAAATTGTATATGATCACGTAAGGGGGTCAGATAATTTTACAGTTAATGAGTAAGCTTACCCTCATGTTCGTTTATGTACTCTGCTTCTCCTAGGTCTGCCTCACGCTTATTGTTGTCATCTGAAAAAAAGGAAATAATTCAGTGAACTCTGAATCACAATGATGCAAGACTTCAGACGGAATTACAAATTTAGGTTTTAGCGATCACCTGTTCACCATGAGAAAGACATTAAGATGAGATAACCAGGGGTTGGTGCGAAATTTGATCTCAGATATAAACGCTGAAAAAGCAAATACAGTTTAATTGTTTTCGTCTACAATTTGATGATAAGATACCCTAAAAAGAATAGAAAATACCACCCGAGGAAATGCTGTTGATCAAAAGAAAAAGGAACCCGGATTAAAATTTAATCCCGGGTTAGCGCTAATCGGACTTCGAACAACTGGGCCCTGAAGAGGGGTCTGGAGTTTACTCTGGTGAACATCTGAATGATCCGCAAAGTAAAACAATCGGTGAAACTGATTTTATTTGAATTTCGTTATGTAGGAAATTGTATATGATCACGCGAGGACGTCAGATAATTTGTTCATGAGTAAGCTTACCCTTATGTTCGTTTATGTCCTCTGCTTCTCCTAGGTGTGCCTCACGCTTAAAGTTGTCATCTGAAAAAAAAAGGAAATAATTCAGTGAACTGTAAATCACAATGATGCAAGACTTCAGACGGAATTACAAATTTAGGTTTTAGCGATCATCTGTTCACCGTGAGAAAGAGAATAAGATAAGATAACCCGGGGTTAGTGCGAAATTTGATCTCAGATATAAAAGCTGAAAAAGCAAATTCAGTTTAATTCTTTTCGTCTACAATTTGATGATAAGATACCCTAAAAAGAATAGAAAACACTACCCGAGGAAATGCTAAACCCGGATTAAAATTTAACCCCGGGTTAGTGCTAATCGGACCTCGAACAACTAGGCCCTGAAGAGGGGTCTAGTTACTCTGGTGAACATCTGAATGATTCGCAAAGTAAACAATCGGCGAAACTGATTTTATTTAACTTTCGTTATGTAGGAAATTGTATATGATCACGCAAGAACGTCAGATAGTAATTTGTTAATAAGTAAGCTTACCCTCATGTTCGTTTATGTACTCTGCTTCTCCTAGGTCTGCCGTACGCTTATTGTTGCCATCTGAAAAAAAGGAAATAATTCAGTGAACTCTGAATCACAATGATGCAAGACTTCAGACGGAATTACAAATTTAGGTTTTTAGCGATCATCTGTTCACCGTGAGAAAGACAATAACATAAGATAACCCGGGGTTAGTGCGAAATTTGATCTCAAATATAAAAGCTGAAAAAGCAAATTCAGTTTAATTCTTTTCGTCTACAATTTAATGATAAGATACCCTTAAAAGAATAGAAAACACTACCCGAGGAAATGCTGCTGATCAAAAGAAAAAGGAACCCGGATTAAAATTTAACCCCGGGTTAGCGCTAATCGGACTTCGAACAACTGGGCCCTGAAGAGGGGTCTGGAGTTTACTCTGGTGAACATCTGAATGATCCGCAAAGTAAAACAATCGGCGAAACTGATTTTATTTAACTTTCGTTATGTAGGAAATTGTACAAAAAAAAAAATGATCACGCGAAGACGTCAGATAATTTGTTAATGAGTAAGCTTACCCTCATGTTCGTTTCTGTCCTCTGCTTCTCCTAGGTGTGCCTCATGCTTAAAGTTGTCATCTGCCAAAAAAAGGAAATAATTCAGTGAACTCTGAATCACAATGACGCAAGACTTCAGACGGAATTACAAATTTAGGTTTTAGCGATCATCTGTTCACCATGAGAAAGACATTAAGATAAGATAACCCGGGGTTAGTGCGAAATTTGATCTCAGATATAAAAGCTGAAAAAGCAAATTCAGTTTAATTCTTTTCGTCTACAATTTGATGACAAGATACCCTAAAAAGAATAGAAAATACCCCCCGAGAAAATGCTGTTGATCAAAAGAAAAAGGAACCCGGATTAAAATTTAACCCCGGGTTAGCGCTAATCGGATTTCGAACAACTGGGCCCTGAGGAGGGGTCTGGAGTTTACTCTAGTGAATGATCCGCCAAGTTAAACAATCGGCGAAACTGATTTTATTTAAATTTCGTTATGTAGGAAATTGTATATGATCACGCAAGGACGTCAGATAATTTCACAATTACTGAGTAAGCTTACCCTCATGTTCGTTTCTGTACTCTGCTTCTCCTAGGTCTGCCGTACGCTTATTGTTGTCATCTGAAAAAAAGGAAATAATCCAGTGAACTCTGAATCACAATGATGCAAGACTTCAGACGGAATTACAAATTTAGGTTTTAGCGATCATCTGTTCACCATGAGAAAGACATTAAGATAAGATAACCCGGGGTTAGTGCGAAATTTGATCTCAGATATTAAAGCTGAAAAAGCAAATTCAGTTTAATTCTTTTCGTCTACAATTTGATGATAAGATACCCTAAAAAGAATAGAAAACACCACCCGATGAAATACTGTTGATCAAAAGAAAAAGGAACCCGGATTAAAATTTAACCCCGGGTTAGTGCTAATCGGACTTCGAAAAACTGGGCCCTGGAGTTTACTCTGGTGAACATCTGAATGATCCGCCAAGTTAAACAATCGGCGAAACTGATTTTATTTAAATTTCGTTATGTAGGAAATTGTATATGATCACGCAAGGACGTCAGATAATACGGGGGGTGACAGCTCTAACAAGGGCTGTTTCGGGAGAAAAACAAATTTATTCCGGGAATCTGGAGATTTTGCCGGGAATCGGGAAACCTGGGAAATTTTTCGGGAAATATGAGATATTTTCGGGACATTGAACAAAGATTTGATATTACATGTTATCAAACAATATGTATACAGTGACATGCACCCTGTACCGATACACTGTATTCTATGTATTTTGACACTTGAAAACGGCTTAACTCCCCATGATATGAAAAGACCAATCAGAAACGTTTCCAACTAAAATAGCATGAAGTTCGAGTGCGATTGACCACATGCAATCCCCAGCGGATTGACACAAGAACCGTACCGGTGCAAGGCAGATACTATCAATTCACACCAGATCCCATCATACATTAGTTCAGGGGTATTTTTAAGCTGCATGTTAATAATGAGTTTTAAGAGCACATTCCACTGATTGCATACTGGAAAACTTGAAAAAATAGTTAGAAGTACGTAAGAAAAAAACGAAACTCATTTAACTTTGTTAAACGGACATGAGGCCATAAAAAGTAGTATGTCTGTGAAGACTCTTTAATCATCCTGATCTCGTTGGGGACCTTCCGATTTTGCTCGAAAATCCCGAATCCCGATCGATATGTGTTCGGGATAGGAAAATTCCAGATTTCGACAGTTGTTCTGAAATTTTCAAATGAATTCTTATGATACTCATACAATGACACCACACAGAGTATACTTAGCTGAAAGTGATTTCCAGAGCAATTTCAAAAACCGCACAACTTGTATAAAATATATCGACTACTTCTACGCGAGGTCACGCCAATAAAAATAAGCATAAAAAGGACAATTGATTTAGAGAACATTTTGGACAGAATTTGTCCTCTCAGAACACTAGAAATGGCGTTTCAGAGCACCAAGATTTCAAAATTTCGGCAGGGGGAGCCTGCCCCCAGACCCTCCTAGTGGTTGGCCCCTTCAGTGCTCGCCTGATTCGTCGGTGATTAAAAAACAAAAAAACACGATTTTATATACTTAAAAAGTTTGACAGCCTTTCTGAGTTAACATGATACCCTCTAACGAAAAAATAACTAAGTTTAGATAATTAACAAGTTACATAATTAACAAGAAGCTGCTAATCAAAATTTTACTTTTAATTGTTAAAACAATTTTGGGAAGTTAAACATTTATGGGGAATGCCACCGAAAAATTCGGGAGGGTCGACGAAATTTCCGGGAGGACATTAAGTTATTCATAGGACTGCCCAAACAGCCTTTGTTAGAGTTGTCACCCCCCGTAGATAATTTCACAGTTAATGAGTAAGCTTACCCTCACGTTCGTTTATGTCCTCTGCTTCTCCTAGGTCTGCCGTACGCTTATTGTTGTCATCTGAAAAAAAGGAAATAATTCAGTGAACTCTGAATCACAATGATGCAAGACTTCAGACGGAATTACAAATTTAGGTTTTAGCGATCATCTGTTCACCATGAGAAGGACATTAAGATAAGATAACCCGGGGTTGGTGCGAAATTTGATCTCAGATATAAACGCGGAAAAAGCAAATTCAGTTTAATTCTTTTCGTCTACAATTTGATGATAAGATACCCTAAAAAGAATAGAAAACACTACCCGAGGAAATGCTGAACCCGGATTAAGATTTAACCCCGGGTTAGTGCTAATCGGACTTCGTACAACTGGGCCTTGAAGAGGGGTCTGGAGTTTACTCTGGTGAACATCTGAATGATCCGCAAAGTAAAACAATCAGCGAAACTGATTTTATTTAACTTTCGTTATGTAGGAAATTGTACATGATCACGCGAGGACGTCAGATAATTTGTTCATGAGTAAGCTTACCCTCATGTTCGTTTCTGTACTCTGCTTCTCCTAGGTCTGCCGTAGGCTTATAGTTGTCATCTGAAAAAAAAAGGAAATAATCCAGTGAACTCTGAATCACAATTATGCAAGACTTCAGACGGAATTACAAATTTATGAGTTTTAGCGATCATCTGTTCACCGTGAGAGAGACAACAGATGGTGTCTACAGCAATGCGAGGCGGGAGATTTCAAATTTCAAATTTCATGCCCCCAGCTATTGTTTAAATGAGTGAAATAACGATTCTAAAACGAACCTTTACAGACAAATAAGCGACTCAAGGGATTTTTATGAACTCTCGTGTTCTTTGTAGGGGAAAGTGAACATGTTTATTATGAAAACAAATAAGTTGCATAGTCTTACCAAAATGTTCTCTTCTACCTGCGTTCGACTTTATCATTCCAGCTGAAAAGAAAATAAGATTTTAGAAACAATAGCCTTAACTTGCTCGAAGACTTGTAGACGAAATAATAACTTACTGCATTTTGTTCTAGTTCGTGTTTAGAAACAATTAGAATTCTCAAGTCTGGATCAAAAGCACATATTTCTGTATCATGAGATTAGTTACCAAATGCGTTTTCCGACAGTTGTATTGGTTTTCTCGGCTCAGAGGGGCGTGCGAATCTTAATACTTATTCTTTCCCTTTCACGGGTAACCAAAGAAAAAAGTAAACAGAGGAGGACAAAGTATGAGAACGTGTAAGGAAGTATGACAAAGTGTGACAAAGTATGACAAAGTCTGATAAGTAAGACAAAGCAACACAAATTCCGACAAAGTATGATTAAGTATGGCAAATCAGAGAACAAATCAGAGAGGAACTAAACCCTAGAGCCCTAGAGGCAAACTTTGGGCTTACTGTGAGAACCCTGTATACGATTATGAGTGGAAATAATCTTGAAAAAACTTACGAAAATGTCGTCTGTTGTATTTTGCCTCCCTTGGATCATCCTTGGGCTTGAGGTGTGAGGCTGAAAACGATATGAGAACATAATAAGCTGAGGGCCACATCTAGCTAAAACGTGCAAATTGAGAACTATGTTCTTCAACAACTAGATTCCTTCAGCGCTTTGACATCACTGAAGAATTTTGCCTTTATGGTCAATAACTGATAAACCTTCCTACAGTTGGGTAATTGTTTCGTTTCGGAAATCCAAAAAGTGATGGGAAGTTGGTTCGTCCGAGAATGTTTGTTCCGTGCAGTTTTTAAAGATTTCTCACCCCAGACTCACGCACAACTTGTTCCAAGCCTAATACGTATAGTCCTTCTTCAAAATGACCACCGCATAAAACAAAACTCGCGTGAAGGTCCTCTTAAATTCACATGAAATTCAGATGTGAGAGCTTATTGTGTTCCTGATCAATCTGAGGTAACAAAACCGTTTGAAAATAAACTGATAAATAAATAAATGAAGAAAGAGATAATAAAATTTGTACCTGAAACAAAACTTCCCAGAATACATAGAGCCACGAGAGCAAACTCCAAAATGGCTAAGATCTTCATTGTTATCTCCGTTTAGCTGTCTTGGATTAAAAGAAAAAAACAAAATGAAAGAAGAAAAAACAAAAATATTTGAGATGAGTGGGTGGAAGAGGCAGATATGGGTGAGGTGCAGTAACAACTACGAGAAAAAGCTATGTCAAGAATAATTATCTGTTCGGGCTGGATTCGCCAGCTTTGTGACTGAATGAGAGATCAAGGTCGCGATAGCTGCCAAAAAAAAAATGAACAAGGGAGGGGTTATTAGCATCCCCCAACCCCTCCCCCTCTTCTGATTGTGCGTCCAAAAGCTGAGGGTGTCTTTCTTTTCTCACAAGACCAAGCCTGAAGACCAGATGTAACAACAAGCTAACGAATATCGTGAAAGAGATTCCAGGTAGATAATCTAACTGATAAGTTTGGTATTGTGGAAGCTATGTAAAATTTCAAGAAAGAAAAGTGCGCTGCACTTCTTTAAAGGCATGTCTTGAAGGTTGACGCGATTTCAACTGCAGCGCACACAACTAGGATTTTTTCTCCCCAAAAAATTCTTTGAGAAACTCCCTGCCCTGCCTTAGACAACAGCTAGAGCCCTTCATATCACACCTTAATGGGAATATAAAGAGGAACGTGAAACAAAATAAAGAGAGCACTTACTTTGCACACCTTTTAACAAGATTGTGGAAACTTCCCGAGGTCTTCGGAGCAGCTCAAACGAAGCTGAACATCTTCTGCTCAAGCAGAAAAAATAAGCAGACTTTTAAAGTGATTTGAGATGCATAATTAAAAGTCTAATAATAGGAGAGAGCTCTAATTAATGCATTTGGCATCCCGTAAACAAGTAGTTGTACAGCTCAAAAAACTTGTTGCAAAGTGCAATTGTCAATTACTTGTCAGTATTTCTCTCGAGTGTGCAAACTACAAAGCGTTTGGTTTTATTCTGGAAACTGTTTTTTTTTTTCGTAGAAAGCTGTTTTGGGAAGTAAACAGTACATCTTTTATTCCTCTATCCACTAAGGTCAGCGCTTAAAACTCATTGATTAAAAAAGTTTGCTTATTCATCTTCCCTGTTCAACGTTTTGTATGATTCTAACGCGCTGATTAGACCCTCCATGTTTTGTTCTTCACCCTTCTTATATTTACTCATTTTTTAGACTCAAAAAATAAGGTATTCTTGAAAAAGGGTCTGGTTGGGGAAGGAACGCATTACGTACGCCTAAGAATGTCTGCGGGGGAGGCTAGTAAACTGACAACTGACAAATGGCCAAAACGTCAACTGACAACTGACAAATGGCCAAAACTTCAACTGACAACTGACAAATCGTCTAACATTTAACTGACAACTGACATTTGCCGTTGGTTTTACTGTGAACTGACAAAGGGCCTGATTGTTCTTGACTTACATATTTAACCAGGCGGGAAATTGAAAAAAAAATTTTTTTTCAACTGAGTGAGCTTAGAGACCATTGATTTGTGACATCAGCGACTCATGGGTGGGGCGCTAAAGGGTCTTTTAAAAGCTTTAGTTCCATGTTTCGATATTTTGCCCCTCTAACTTCAGTAAAATACCTATACATACATAGATACATGCATACTTAATTGTTACCTCCCCAAAGGGGCTTTTCAGGAACAATGATTATATTACATTATTTATAACAACTAATTACAACACTTAACCTAACACTAATTACAATGTTAGCTAAATACTAACTGCAATATTTTTAAACTTAACTAAGAAGTATTAACAAAATTATCTAAAAGCTGGCTCCTTAAGGGTTGTTTCCAAATTTTCCAGAAATAAAAGAAGAACAAAAGAAATATTTAAAGTTATTGCTTAAGAGGAAAGATGTTCTTGGATTGCTTCCAACTAGCCTTTTTTTTAATACTAACTTTTTCAAATTAAGCGTTGACCGGCCAAACACGACTCAAAAGCTCGTGAGCCTGGAATTTGTTTTAACAACACATTTTCCCTCATTCCTTTATCGCTGCTGTTTTTGGATTTAACTTTGACTTTGACCGACCAAATTTCGATATACCCTTTCGATATTTTGCCCCTCTGACACAAAGTAAAATATCTATACATACATACATACATACATACATACATACCTACTTCATTGTTACCTCCCCAAAGGGGCCCTTCAGGAACAATGATTATTTACATTATTATTAATAACTAATTACAGCAGTTGAACCTAATACTAATCGTACAATGTTAGCTAATTACTATAATTACAATGTTTTTAAACTTAACTAAGAAGTATTTACAAAATTATCTAAAAGCTGGCTCCTCAAGGGTTGTTTCCAAATGTTCCAGAAATACACTCTTTTTTTTTTTAAGTATGTTGTTTTCCAGGGCCAGGCTGAATATTCTTACTTTTCCGCCGATTTTAGGCTGTAAATATTCTTGTATTATTCTTAATAATAGCTTATGACATTTCCGAATTAGAATTATAGTTTTGTTAAATATAGTTAGCTAGTTTTGCCGTTTAAAGAAAGGAATAAATTGAAAAGGCATATTTGTAGTGTATTTACAGATTTTCACCACAGGAAATTATATTCTTTTCAAAATCTCAGCCTGGAGTTTATTCTTAAAGTATTCTTAAGATTTCGCAAATTTCAGCCTGGATATTCTTATAAAATATATTCTTATAGAAAAAAAAGAGTGTAAAAGAAAAACAAAAGAAATATTTAAATTTATTGCTTAAGAGGAAAGATGTTCTTGGATTGCTTCCAACTAGGTTTGGAAAAACTTTTTTGAGTTAAGTGTTGACAGGCCAAACACGACTCAAGCTTGTGAGCCTGGAATTTGTTTGAACAACACGTTTTCCTTCATTCCTTTATCGCTGCTGTGTTTGGATATAACTTTGACTTTGACCGACCAAATTTCGATATATCGTTTCGATATTTTGCCCCTCTAACTCAAAGTAAAATACCTACACATACATACATACATACATAATTGTTTACCTCCCCAAAGGCGCTTTTCAGGAAAAATGATTATATTACATTATTTCTAACAACTAATTACAAAACTTAACCTAATACTAATCGTACAATGTTAGCTAATTACTATAATTACAATGTTTTTAAACTTAACTAAGAAGTATTTACAAAATTATCTAAAAGCTGGCTCCTTAAGGGTTTTTTCCAAATGTTCCAGAAATAAAAGAAAAACAAAAGAAATGTTTAAATTTATTGCTTAAGAGGAAAGATGTTTTTGGATTGCTTCCAACTAGGTTTGGGAAAGCCTGATTTTAATACTAACTTTTTTAAGTTAAGTGTTGACAGGCCAAACACGACTCAAGCTCGTGAGCCTGGAATTTGTTTGAACAACACGTTTCCTTCATTCCTTTCTCGCCGCTGTGTTTGGATATAACCCGGGGGGGGGTACTCCCTAATATGGGCTATATAGGTATGTGCGGCCCCAAAGGGTAGGGTTTTTCAGCCATTTTGGTCATAAATAGGGTAACGATTTTTGCACTGTAGTCTTGAATGCACTTTTTTAGAAGAAGCTACTTCCTTATCATGTCCCCCTAACCTAATAAAAGCAGATAAACATTGCCTTTAACATTGGTCTGAACTAGGGAAATAATTATAAGGCAGGTCTGAAACAGGGTATTGATTTAAGGGTCATAAATAGGGTATCAAATTTTTGGTTAGGTCATAAATAGGGTAGGGAAAATCGCAGATTTTGGTCATAAATAGGGTAAGGGTTTTGGGAAGCGGGCCGCACACCCCTACCCAATTTTTCTGCGAGTACCCCCCCCCCCCCGGGGATATAACTTTGACTTTGACCGACCAAATTTCCATATATCGTTTCGATCTTATTTTTTTACTCAAAGTAAAATACCTATACAAAGAAAAACAAATGTCAGTTAAATTTATTGCTTAAGAGAGATGTTCTTGGATTGCTTCCAACTAGGTTTAGAAAAAGCCTGATTTTAATACTAACTTTTTAAAATTAAGTGTTGACAGGCCAAACACGACCCAAAAGCTCGTGAGCTTGGAATTTGTTTGAACAACACGTTTTCCCTATTTCCTTTCTCGCCGCTGTGTTTGGACTTTACTTTGACTTTGACCGACCAAATCTTACTTTTGCCGCCTGGATTCTAGCCTGCGAACCGCAGACGTATTTCAGGGCGTCGCTTTTCAGGAAAGAAGCGACGACCGGAAATACGTCTGCTGTTCTCAGGCTATCCACCCGTCGTCTCGCACTTTGCACTCGTTTCGCGCTTCTCGCAAAATGCCGCGTTCGCCTCTCTAGCCTGCGCGCAGACGAAATTAAACTCTGGTTAACTCCGTCTGCGAAACAGCGCCGAAATCCTTGTTCTGGACTTCCAGCTGTGTACCCAGATTTGAGTACGCGCCACGATTGGCCAGTTAAAAAAGGCCTTTGTTTTGTTTGTCGTGATCGCCAATGAGGTTGAAGGGGAATTCGAAACGCACTTCCGGTAATTCGTTGAGTCCGTTGGGGGTCCAGAACAAGGATCTCTGCGCTGCTTCGCAGACGGTACTAATCAGAGTTTAGTTATCGTCTGCACGCAGGCTATCGCCTCTCTTGACTCATAAAGCACCTGTTATGCAGGCTAAGAATACCTTTGCCAGTTTAGCCTGTGAACAGGCTCTCGGTTGGCGACAAAAGGCCTGTTCACAGGCTATCGCCAGTTAAGCCAGAGAGAAGGTGTTTAAAAAACCCTCAGGATCCTAAACAACATGTCAATCCAAATATCAGAAGAGCTATCACGCGGCCAAGCTTAAATTAGACACATCGAAAAAGGAACTCCCCCTCTTGATTTCAGATCTAGAATTTTCGGAACATTTCTTGTGAAATTTCTTGTTTGCCTAGCTCTCCTAGGATTTTCTAACACCTAAAAAATTGGTATAATTGCCCATTTTTAACGGATTTTTATCCTAAAAAGGTCACCTAGAATTTTCGGAAGCCTTTTTTCTGGCTGAAATTTTCGAAAAGGTAAGTTTTGATCCCTATAATTTTCGAATCACTAGACTTTCAGCTGGGAAATCCGAACAGGTGAAAAATTTTTAGGGGATAAAAATATGCCTATATCTACCGTTTGGATACTAAACAACATGTCGGCAATCAAAATATCACTTAAGCGGCTATCACGCGGCGAAGCTTTTAAAAATTAGACACATCGAAATAGGAACTCATGTCAATGAAAGCATCATATCGTCACCTTCTCACTCAGTGTAGCAAAACAGTCATGAACAGTCACGTACTCGGCAAATCGTTGCTGGTAAAAATCTGGTACATGTACCCAGGGATATGTATTTTCTAGTCAAGAGAAAGGAATCAGAGCTGCTTTTCAGGAATAGGTTTTCTTCGGGCTAGCTAGAAAACTTCAACTTATTCAGTAGCTCCTTGACATATTCCTGGCCTTTTGCTGTTCATTAATTAAGAGAAAATACGCATTCAGTCTTTTGTGAGAAGAAAGTTCTGCTTGTCAACTCGTTTTAGTTGTTAATGAGAAGAAAGTTCTGCTTGTCAACTTTTGAGACCTTTTGGAACTTTGGAAACTGATCCGTTTCGAGCTTCTCGCAAAAAGCCGCGTTTGCCTTGCTTGGCTCAAAGCACCTGTTATACAGGCTAGAACACCTTCGCCAGTTAGCCAGAGAGAAGGTGTTTTTAAAAAAACCCTCAGGATCGTAAACAACACGTCAATCAAAATATTTTTCGCTAATGAATAGCTATCACGCTCAGTCTTTTATGAGAAGCCGAGAAAGTTCTCTTGTCAAAATTTAGTTGTTAATGAGAAGAAAGTTCTGCTTGTCAGCTTTTGAGAGCTTTTGAAACTTTGGAAATTGATCCGTGGTAGGCATTTTTTTTCTAATGTGGGCTGCGTGTGAGATGTTTTCAGAAAGTCACTGAAGACCCCGGGGGGGGGGGTACTCCCTAATATGGGCTATATAGGTATGTGCGGCCCCAAAGGGTAGGGTTTTTCAGCCGTTTTGGTCATAAATTGGGTATCGATTTTGGCTTTTTTGCCGCCATTTTGGTCATAAATAGGGTAACGATTTTTGCACTGTAGTCTTGAATGCACTTTTTTAGAAGAAGCTATTTCCTTATCATGTCCCCCTAACCTAATAAAAGCAGATAAACATTGCCTTTAACATTGGTCTGAACTAGGGAAATAATTATAAGGCAGGTCTGAAACAGGGTATTGATTTAAGGGTCAGGTCATAAATAGGGTATCAAATTTTTGGTTAGGTCATAAATAGGGTAGGGAAAATCGCAGATTTAGGTCATAAATAGGGTAAGGGTTTTGGGAAGCGGGCCGCACACCCCTACCCAATTTTTCTGCGAGTACCCCCCCCGGGCTGAAGACCCAGTAAAGCTAGTATTGACTCAATTCTCACTAGCCTGCGCGCAGACGAAATTAAACTCTGGTTAACTCCGTCTGCGAAACAGCGCCGAAATCCTTGTTCTGGACTTCCAGCTGTGTACCCAGATTTGAGTACGCGCCCCGATTGGCCAGTTAAAAAAGGCCTTTGTTTTGTTTGTCGTGATCGCCAATCAGGTTGAAGGGGAATTCGAAACGCACTTCCGGTAATTCGTTGAGTCCGTTGGGGGTCCAGAACAAAGATCTCTGCACTGCTTCGCAGACGGTACTAATCAGAGTTTAGTTATCGTCTGCACGCAGGCTAAATTCTCACCTACTTACTCTGATGTCAGTTATTGTCAGGGGCACCCAACGTCGGAAAATATCTGTTCGGAAGACGATTTGAGATCTAGAATTTTCGGCACATTTCTTGTAAAATTTCTTGCTTGCTTGCCTCTCCTAGGATTTTCTAACATCTAAAAAATGGTATAATTGCCCATTTTAACCAATTTTTGCCTGAAAAGGTCACCTAGAATTTTCGGAAGCCTTTTTTCTGGCTGAAATTTTGATCACCAACTCTTCATTACAAAGAAGGGAGGTGCGTGGGGGGGGAGGTAGGGGATGAAGATGGGAAACATATTTTTTCTTTCAGATATTTAATACACAGTCGGTGACTCAGGGTTTGCATTTGCTTGTTCTGTAGTGTCCGTTACTTCAAATCTTATGATTCCATTACGTTTTCGTCGGAGTAGTTTTATTTTATTCCGCTTTCTCTTCATTTCCAGAGGCCCTATCTTTAACGTCCTCTGTTAATATTTGATCACTTCTCATGGCGTCATTCTTATCCATTTAAACCTGTATTCAATTAAGCGGACCTCTATTAAGCGGTCGCTACCAAAGTCCCGAAAATAGTTTCCCTTAAATACTGTTAAACAGACCTTTATTGAAGCGGGCACTTCTATTAGGCGGCCGCGGTCACCTTTTCCGAGGCCCCAACAAGTTATTTCGTATTGTCTTCACCTGTGTTAAACGGTCACTTCGACAAGATGTACCATCATGTACAGTTTAAGGCCAAAAAGGGGGCGGATAGATCTTCGCTCTTCCACCTGATCTTCATTTCCGTATGTAGGTATTCGAACCTGTATTAAGCGGCCAGTAAGCTATTTCCCAAGGGTAAGCGCTTAATACAGGTTTGACTGTAATTACTTCAACATCATCGGCACATTGATGATTTTCCTGAACAAGCCTTGCGATAGTCTCTATTTCTTCATCAGCTGAAGCTGTTTCAGCTTGCGGCATTCCTTTAGCAATTACAAAATTAATCTCCTTCATATCATGTTCACTTTTCTGCAATTTTTGATTTCTTGTGTCTAATTCTTTCAAAGACTGGCGATCTCGGATCCGTTCGCCATCTCTTCTATGTGGTGTGTACTTTTGCCGTCCTCTAAAATTCGACTGTTTGTTTTATCTTGTACTGGGCTCTCTATTCTTGATTGTTGGAGGCCCCAAAAACCGTGTCATTGCAATGCAGTTTTTGACAGGCTTGAAAATGGTCCGCACTTGGGTTCAGTTGTTGATTCTTCGAAATGTCCTCGCTCATATACTCATGTCTTGATCACCTAAGCTCTCTTCGTTTTCCATATTTTCTTCGTACGATTGACCAGTTCATATATATTCATTCCTTCTTTGCTTCAGCTCTCTTTTCAGGGGCACCCAACGAAAATATAGTTCAAAACCACTTAAACACAGCATTGTTAAACGTATTTTAGTATTTAAAAGGTAGATATGGGCATATTTTTATCCTCTAAAAATTTTTCATCTGCTCGAATTTCCCAGCTGAAAGTCTAGTGATCCGAATATTATAGGGATCAAAACTTACTTTTTCGAAAATTCAGCGAGAAAAAAGCCTCCCGAAAATTCTAGGTGACCTTTTTAGGGTAAAAATTGTTAAAAATGGGCAATTATAACAATTTTTAGATGTTCGAAAATCCTAGGAGAGGCAGGCAAGCAAGAAATTTTACAACAACTGTGCCGAAAATTCTAGATCTCAAATCGTCTTCCGAACAGATATTTTCCGAAAATTGACGTTAGGTGCCCCTGTCTTTTTCCTTTCGCTCCTATAATGAACATGTAAGAATGTTTTTATTCAATAATTTTTCGTAAGATCTTAAAATATGTCGTGCAATTCATTCTTTTTAAAATGTTAAGAGGCTGACTGAGATATGAATTTTTTAAAATGACCATATAATTTGCTCGGCAGGAAAAGTAATTTGCATCTCTAGAGCTGCATGACGAATAATTGTGCAAAAGTGGTACCTGAACCAGCTATGATAAATCAGAAGTACTTAGACCAGTCTACTTCTTAATGCAATAAAATTTGTGGGCACTCTTCTTTGCGTGCTGTACAAAGTCCCTTCCAATGCTCCAAAATTCGCCATATTCACCACAAAGCTGGAATTGTAACGGTCCACATCTGATGGACTAATTTCCACACCTATAACGTTTCTAGTTATCACTAAATTTCATTAGACCCTTTAAATGTTTTAAAAACACATGGAGAAAACTTGGTATTGTCCTTTTTCAGGGTCGGCCAGGGGGGTAGTGGAATACCAAAATACCCGAATTAAACCTTCCAATATACCAACATATATACGTCTTTTTTATTTTCCTATCAATTACTGCTGGTTTCAGCTGATGGTGGCTGCTAAAGGAGAACTGAAAGTTGATGCAGCTTCGCAGCCACCCTTCTTCTTCGTTTTTGGGCCTACTAGCCTGTGTACAAACGCCCCCTCCCCTACAAAAATCAACGTCTTTTTTATTTTCCTATCAATTACTGCTGGTTTCAGCTGATGATGGCTGCTAAAAGAGAACTGAAAGTTGATGCAGCTTCGCAGCCACCCTCCTTCTTCGTTTTTGGGCCTACTAGCCTGTGTACAAACACCCCCTCCCCTAAAAATATCGAGGCTAGAAAGATTCTTTTTTTTGAAGGGAGGAGAAGGTTGTACACAGGCTAGGGCCTACATGGCTTCTCCCTGCTCAGAGTAACGGAGGACGAGGTCCTCTGCCGAATGCAAGCTGATGCATTAAAAATTTATGCTTGTGATTGTACCAGTTATCCTATCAATCTTTGGGAAGCAGTGAGTTCAGTTGTGACAGAAAGAAAAGAATCACGTCATCTTTGTCACTTAAGTAACCCTAGTCACCAAAGTCACCCAAGTCACCCTAGTCTCCAAAGTCATCTAATCATCCTAGTCACCCAAGTCACCCCGGTCGACAAAGGCAACTTACAAGTCACCCTTGTCACTCTAGTCACCCAAGTCACGCTAGTCACCTAAGTCACCCTTGTCATGCTAGTCACCCAACTCACAATTCGGTAGTCTTCCAAGATTTAAACGACAATACTGAACATGGCTGGTAATCATGGTAATTGCTGTTTTATGGTTACTTTTGAAAATGTTCTGGAATATGTATTTTTTCGAAGTGAAAACTTCTCTTTTTGTCTGATCTTGAATGGACCATTTACGGTACTCATACTAAAAACTGCTGTGTATAAAACATACAGAACTTTTTATTTACTCATAACAACAAAGCTGTACAGGTAATGCAATTAAAATTATTATAGCTGTTTTCCGTTTTGTGTCGAAACTAATTGATAAATATCCTTTTGATGTATCTGACTGAGTTATTTGGTGCCTACACTCCTATTAAGCGTTACTTGCTAGCATACGTTTTCCCGCCCTTCAAGGCGGTTTGCGTTCTTTGGATTCTGATTGGCTTACTAGATTGTCTACGTCTGTTGTGATTGGCCAATTCAATATTCTTCTACAGTGCTTTGCGCGCCATGATAACCTTCGCACAGAATCTCGAGTAACAGTAGGGAGCTTATGCAACAACGACGGCAACGAGCTGATTCAAAATTTATCGCGCTTATTCCATCTCGTTCAATTCTTCAAATATTGGCCTTTTTTTTCTGGAGTTGAATTCTAAAAGTCTATATCGAAGTTCAAAAAAAGAAATAGAAAGCCGTTGTTTACCCAGGGCGGATGCTCACCTGCGGTTTTCTAATACTACTGGTATTCTGCAAAAAAAAAACTATGTGGTTTATTGGTGTTGAAGTAGAGCAAGAGACGAGTGCACCCCCTCCTAAAAAAAATCTTGGATCCGCCCCTGTTACCGTTTCTACAAAGCGTGAAATGAGGCACTTTTACGTCGAAGTCGTGTAGTGACGGCATGAATGACGGCAAAGAAATGTACGAAAAAGCGTGAGCAAGTGCAGAGTTGTTGTATTGCTAATCTTAACCTATTGCTTTTTTGACGTTCTCGCTGCTGTTTCCGTCGTCTTTGCTCAACCTCCCTAGTAAAAACATCCTCCTCCATCGTGTTTAACTTAAGCAGTTTATCGTTATTTAACGTCAGAAAGGCGCTTGTCTCTTTGTTTCCTACAAATGAATAGTTTTAACCACAACAAAAGTATACGAAGGGAATAAAAGGGGTTTCTGTTGCGCTTAGCTCGCAGAAATGGACCTTCAAATAAACTTGTTTCAATGCCTTTCCGACACTAAACGAAAAACTGCTCGGAAAGTGACCAAAGGATTTGAAATTCTCAGCTGCCTTTTTACATGGTGAAGCTGTCACTTGGCCTGTTCTGCTTTTTTGGCTTGTACTTCCTCTTTTGCCTGTTTGAAAAGTAGAAAGTGGATATACTATGAGTCAAAACTTAATGTTATTTTACATGCAGTGGGTTCCAAAGGTGCAGACCATGAACCAACCCAATTTTTGGCGTGAACTGAAATGGTTGGGCTGTAAACTTACGATGGTGGGACCTCCATTCTGAATTGGGAAAATAGGCAATAATTCTGTGTACGGGGGGGGGAGGTGGTGGCAGAGACGGGGGAAGGGCTCTCATAAGAGTTCGCTCGCAACATGATCTACGGGAACGTTTCATCATCGAACGAGCACAATAGTGATAGCCCAGCGATACACATAAAAACAGCACTGATTCAGTCTCCTCACATCCCCATCGAACGCACACTGCACAGGGCACTTCAGGTTGTCCACTTCAGGGGTGGGGTGTGAAGGGAATTGCTTGACACGTGGTATCAAGCAGGTAAAAGTAAGTAGGACCTCCGTACTTTTTCCACTAAAGGCACCAGATTTCCTTGCTTGGCCAAGACTTTCAAAAGTTCCATTATCAGAGGCAGATAGTTGTGTTTTCTTCTGATGTTTTCAACCTGTAAACAAACATAGAAGTATTTAAAAATTTTATGGCAATTATGTCGCTGAAAGTGAAACTGCAATTTTCCTTTTGCTCTACCTGTAATACAATTTTTATACAACGCCTATTTTGATGGCGGATTAACTGATGATACAAGCACTCATCAAGATGATCAATATCTTTTGGCGACAAAAGCTAGTATGCCTAGAATGTGCAGTTAAAGTAAAGAACAACAACAGTGACCGCAACAACCAAAAAATAAGAATAGAAAAACCAACAAGTCTAGATGTCTTCTCTTTTTTTTGGTTTTTATTAACTCTGAACAGGTCGGTTTCCGTGTAAGTCCACTTTGTTGCAAACCAGATTTTGAACAGGTTGATTGTAATATTTTCTTATAGCTTTATCGCCCCTTTTCCCAGATGACGGGCGTTTTACTTTCGCCTCATCTTTTTTGCGCGACGTCCCTCCCATCTGAAAGCCTGGCACAGGTTAATCATACCCCAAAGCTTACCTTGTACCGAAGCATTTTATCATCTTCACCGGCGATGAGTGTCTGCAGACGTGAGATCTCACTGTCAATATTCTTCATCACAGATTGAAGTTCATTCTCTGACGTTACTTGATCTGTCTCCATGGCGTCAGCACCCTAACAACAACATGATACAAACAAGTGAATTACGAGAGTTTACCAAATTAATAATTATAATGGCAAACCACTGAATAGAATACTTATATTTTCACACCTCTTTTGAAGATTGACTTTTCAATTGCTCCAGCTACAAAAACAAAAACATTGAGAGAAAATGTCATTTTGATAAAAAATATATACAAATGCAATTAGTAATTGGCTGGGTTGGACAAAGTCAAGAATTAAAAATACAAGGACTGCATTCCAATGCTGAAGAAAGGATTGCATATTTGAAAGCTGCACCACTTTAGTCAAAAAGCATATTGGATGAGAGTGGGGCTTTTAAACAGACTATAAAGAGAAAGCACCTATACTTGAACTACTTTTAATTTGGATGATATCATTTTTTTTTTATTTTCGCATTATTTCCTTTGTCTCTTAGCCCTAATTATTCATGAATTAGTGCTAGGAAACAAAGGAAATTGAGAATCAACCTTGGTTAAATCAAAATTAACCTGAAATCAAATTTGACCTGTAACATATCCTTGTACCAGAGAAGCTGCATCGTCTACACTAACTACAAAGGCTCTGCAATTTAGAGCCTGCAACACAACACTTGATCTTTTGGATAAAATTTTGTCACTGTCAGAATACTTGAAAATACATACATTGTCTAAAATCTGAGTTCTTTTCTGGTTCAATCTATCAATATCTTTAAGGTGAATAGCCTTTCTTGATGAAACGATGGCCATAAGGTTAAAATGAATCTCCTCTGCTGAGTATCTGAAAAAAGAAAAGGTTTAAAATACAAGCTATTGTTACAATAATAAAAACTTTATGACTGGTTTTGTTTTCTCAGAATCACCCTGTTTCCCGAGACAGAGCCAGGGAAAACATTGAGATTTAAGAGAAGCAAAATTAACAAGACTTTGAAACTTTGAAAAGACTGGAAAATTCAAATTATGTTGTAAAACAAGCCTCAATATCCAGATACAAATTCTCCAGTCTGTTCTCCATACATTTTGTTAAAGAATGAAATGAGAAAATTTGATAAAAGATCAAAATATTTTCCCTTTGGTGATCATTTCATTGATTCTCATGACCTCTTCTTTTGATTATGCATTGATATAGTCAGGAGAAAATTGATGTTGGTCACTCTTTGGACTTGCACACTGTATGCCTTACTAGGTAAAGCTTATGATTTTGACACTGAATCCATTCACTATGTGAGCTAAGTGTTAACCAGCTCTGAGGACCTCGAAAGGTTCTCTACAGCTTTCCTCCCTCAATAAAAAATTATCACATTTCCAAATTCTAATTTAATCAGGGATTCGAGACCCACAAATTTCTCAGTCTGCAAAAAGAATCTTATCTGCCATTTTTGCAGAGTAACGTTGTCCCTTATTACCTACTCAATTATTTTTGGACATTACTGACACAATACATGGATATGCAAAGGTACTTACTTCTGCATTCTTGCTTCTATAATGGGTTTACAGACACCAAGCCAGTTTTCTGGAGTACATGGCCCTATCAAGATATAAGTAATTTAATTTTCACATGTCATAACAACTGTACCTAATAAGCAGTGTTTTCTACAATGAGTGTATTAGATGGAAAGTGGTGCTGGCAATCAGGTTGACAAGTGAAGAGAAAGACTGGGAAAAAATGTTATTCCAAGGGCTTTTTATACAAAGACGCCACAAGTGAATTTTTAACCTTTTTCAAACAAAGTTGGTGTAACTCCTGTAATTTAGTAACAAAATGCCTGCATATCAAGCTTACAATAGATACTCATACAATGTATTCTGCATCTGAAATTCTAAAATGTTGGGGAGATCTATCGCAAATTTTTCTCCTGTAAGCCTGACTGAGCTTGTGATGCAAGAACCAGTTTATGACCAATAATTTAAATGGTAGACAAGATACAATAACTTTAAAATTTAATTCGTTCATATACATTCCATTGCAAATTTACACCTAACAATAACATTGTGCTTTATTACCAAGATCAATAGGCCCATCTCTTAATCCATCCAGTTCATATAGTTTGCCGTGCAGTGGAACATAAGCCACAAAGTGATACACATTCTCATCTTTTTGTGGCAGTTTAGCATCAAACTCAAACATTTGCTGTCTGAAAATGTCAGTAGAAGCATGGAAGTGAATAACTTCAATAAAGAAATTAAACAAACTTGGATAGATTTAAACTTTTATTGATGGTAAGAAATAACTCTTTTTTAAAAGCTAAAAATAAATCAAACCTGGCAAAACCATTGTGCACTTGTCTGATAACATCAGAGTTACTGAGGCTCAATCCTTTTAGCTGTTGACAATAAGAGATTTGAAGTTTATTGCTACTTAATTTGCATCAAATAAGTCAATTAATGTAATTTGTTCAAAATCAATGACGGTCTCTTAGAGGGGAACGGGGGTATGTATGACCCTAGTCTAAATTTCAAAACGTGTCATTTCACATATTGGGTAGAAAAACATGTCCCTGTTGGTATTTTAACTACGTTACAGTTGAACCTCTGCTAACAGCCAGGCGCCTCTCTACAATGGCCACCTTTTTTTCGTCCTGATGAACAGAAAATCCATACATTGACTTTTCTACAATGGCCACCTCTTTACAACGGATACTTTCTTCCATCCCCAAGGTGGCCATTGTAGAGAGGCTCAACTATATTTGCACTTTTCTTTGTCACTGTTGCACTTTTCAACTAATCTTTACATTGTTTGTCACCATTTCAGCTGTCTTTACTCTTATTTCACTGTTTCAAGCCATGTAAACTTATTGTTGGAATTTTACCCTAACAGGACCTTGGAATCTCACTATAACGAATCTCTATATAACAAATTCCTCGGTATAAGAAATGATTTTGTTTAACCCAGTAATAGTCAGATACAGTGAAAAAGGGGCCACCCCTTTGTATGATCCCCTGAATCTGCAACTGCTTTTTGTTGGAATTTTACCCTAACAGGGCCTTAACAACCAGAAACTTGAGTATGGGTGTACTGTGGAACCTCAATACAACAAAAGGGCCAGTTTTTTTTGGACAAAATATGTTTGCTTTAATGGGGTTCCACTGTATATGGAAAAGAACCTGGGGATAACGAAAACCTCATTATAGTGAACAAATTTTGCCAGTGTCTTGGCTGTTTGTTATATTGAGTTTCCACCGTATCGTGAACTTACGGATGAATCAAATGTTGCTGAAAAGTCTTTGAAACTTGATAGTGTATGTCCTAGGTCCAAGTCTGGGTGATTGCAGTTAAGAAGGACACTTAGAATGGCTTGAGTTGCACAGGCATTGGTTATGACCTAAAAAATGAAATAAAAATAAAAAATGCACTGTATCTAACATGATATACAAAGCATTCATATCAAGCCCCAAAGTCTATGTCAACTTGTTTGAATAAAACAAGCTGGTCTCAACTGTTGTCATATTAAATAAATTTGCCTTATCCTATGTCATGTGACAAAGCCAAAATGTATAGGTATTTCACTTATTATAAGAATGGCACCAGAATGGGTCTGAAATTCCCTTTCTTAGAACTTTGATTGGCCAACGTTTGGCTTGCAAGCCTTTTGGTCCCAAGAGTGACCAACATTAATTTTCTCCTAACAACATCAACAGATCATCAAGAGTAAAGGTTATGAGAATTACTTAATTGATTACCAAGGGTCTGAGAATACTTTGATCTTAAACCAAATTCTCTCCACTATTCTTAAAAGAAATGTATGGAGATCGGTCTTGAGAATTTGTTTGTGGATCTTGGGGCTTTAGGGATATAATGCTTGTAAAATTGTTCAACTTGCCTGTTTAGCAAAGAATATTCCAAGAGACCTGCTCTCATGTACAATGGGTCCAGCTGGCTCTTCCCCGGGCTTCCATTTGAACAGAAATATAAGGCCATGAACAGGTCTGGAAATGTCACAAGTAAAAGAGAGGCAAGAATGAATCAAAGAATGAACACAACTTAAGGCCAAACTATAATGCTATCATACCATAAACTGCCGCTTTTGAGCCCTTGGCTTACAGTTCTTTGTAAGGGAGTTTAGTGAGGCTTTTAAATGGAGGAGTTTGTATCTGAGTAGGCTTATAAACAGAATAGAGAAAGTGCTTCGAAACAAATTACTGGTAAAGTGCCAATTTAAAGACCATCTGCAAGCTGGCTGGCTAGCTCAGTTGGTTAGAGTGTTTCACCGGTATTGCAGAGGTCAGTCTTCGAGGCTTTCAGGTGTTCTTTTCACAACTGCATAAGTTGCATCTTCAACTGCGATCATGATCTTTTTTACATTTATTTCTTTATTTTATCCAGCAGTTCTAATAAATTTATATGAAGTTCAGATATTCATTGTTTCATAAGTTAGTTAGCTAGCAGGATTTTTAAAAACAGAATAAAGGAAACACCAGAAGAGCAGGGTGTTATTAACCTTAAATCTTCCAGTGACACTTCATCAAGACTGTAGATCTCCTCCACCTGTACACCAGAACAACCTAAACAAAACAAATCAAAAATTTACCTTAAAACTTTCAAGCCTAAAATATCGCTGGAAGAAGTATGGCCAGTCGAGCCTAAATTATTATTTTGTGTCCATAGCCTTGGGTTTCGTCATTTGAAAAAAATGTTGTGTTTTTATGAACAGTGTATTCTGGCATTTTAAAAGTATCTTGCAGCCTCTGCTCCCCTTCAAATAGCTTTTACACTAACTAAACATAGAAACATGCTATCTTTTCATTACTTCAAAGTCAATACTTTGGCTTACATTTTAAAAAAAATGAACACACAGTGACCATGTTGATTGCAGCCCTTGACGAAAAGTGCTATTAAAGTGGCTGGGATCTTAAAAAATATCAGACAACTCCAAAACAAAGGAAGAGATATTAGAAAATGGATTGTTTCTGTAACTACCTACCCATACTATCCTGAGTCCCCAAGGGGAGTGGGGGAGGGGCAGAACCCTTACCCTAGCCAGACTTTGTTCATCTGAATTTTGTTACCCTGTAGAAGACTAAATTTCCAGAATGCCTCCTTATCCTAGAGTCTCTATTTTCCAGAAACTACTGTGGTGGATGTCTTCCTTGCTGTTAAAGTAAGTGGTTAAAATTCAAATTTGCCAATTTTATTTTTTGAGTGTGTGAATTTCCAGTTCCCCTAGTCTAGACAAAAAAATTTCAACCAATTGAATCAGTTTCCTGGAAAATGATACCCAATTTAAGACCCAAACTTGCCGATTTCTATACCCTATCTTAGACTAAACTGCTTGAAAACCATACCCTTCACAGCAGGGCATTTCTTTAACCCATCTGAATCAATGGTCAGACTAAACTGTGGTATGGAAAACCATAGCCTTCAGGCAGCACATGGACATACCTTGTTGGGGCTCATCAGCATGGCCCATATTTGGTAGTGCCCCTCCCTCCCCAGGTGTCAAGTACCCTTCTCCCAACCCCTACTGGGCTACTTATTTGTTACAGCTGAGCCAAAGTTCTTTTTTTTATTTCCCACGTCTGATCAATACATGCTTTACCAACCAATGAACTTGGCCAACATTATTTTTGTTGAAATGTATACCCATCTTTTGCTCCTCCCTTCAACTTCCTCCATCCGCTGGGTTTTCAGTGCATGCGCACAAGGTCCACTTTTAAACGCAGCACGTGTACCTGTTTTTGTACTAGTTTTGGTTTCGATAATTTAAGACAACTATTTGAATAACGAAAAATGCACCCATGCTAACTTGGTTGAATGCCCTAAAATAAAAAATTCTGGAAGTTCTTGTATGACTTGAGGAAGGAAAATCAAGCAATTAGGGCCATCTAATATTCGGTGTCTGATGTCTATGAAACCGGATGTCGTAACTATCACGATAGAATAGAGGGGCATTCACAACGTGCAATGCGAAGAAATTGTTCTGAATAAATTGTGTCGCGATAAAAGGTTTTCAGAATAATAATGCCTACCAAAACCACGGATTAGTTCGGTAAAAACACCAGGATCGCTTTCAATCAAACACCATTCTCCGCCGGCCGCCATCTTGGAATTTCCCCCAGAGTTCCTTTCAGGATGAAAAATCCCCTCTCTCTTTCCCAGGTTCTTTGCAAGATCCTTCAAGGAGCATGGAAACTAGAAAACAACTTTGAATTCAAGATGGCGAATCTTATGAATGAACAAACCGATGATTAACTTGCTGATGATCTCCGCTTTCGTTGTACAAAATGAAATCGAAACATTTTGTTGTCTTGACGCTGAGCTGTAGCATTTGTACCAAAACTCTTGTTTAAGTGCTGGATTTTGTCTAGAGTGGAAGTGTGGCAACTAAACCATTTGCATGTGGCGATCACCTTTTCCTCTCAGTCCACCTGTGGCAACTACTGGAAATGGCTTCGCACCTCAGGTAGACTTACTGATGGTATAAGGAAATACTGTTAGAAGATTTTCATCTGCGAAACTTTTCAGTGCGATGGGTCAGCGCCTAGAAATCCCATCTATGAAAAAAACAGCTGATAGCCAAGGTCGAATAACTTGTACTATTTAAAAAAGAAAGTGCTTAACTATAAGCTTACGTTAAAAACAAAGCAGAGAGAAAAGCGTTTCCAAAAATTTTCGAGCATTTAAAGTATAAGCAGACAGTAACCTAGATTTCACCTCGTGGGACTTATCACCAACTTAAACATTTACAAGCTGGAGGAATTGGAGTAGTTTAAACACTGTTAAGTTATTTAAGACGCAGTTTTGGCTTATGCATGTCATTCGCCCTTGTTTTGACCTAGCGGATCCCAAAAAATTAATGTGAATTATAATTTTCTTTGTAGGCAAATCAACAATTACCTTCAGGATTTCAGCAACCTTTTCCTCAAACAACTTCCTCACAATTTACAACTCCTGGGCCTGGAGGTGGTCCATCTTTTCAGCCTTTTGTTCCTCCTCAAGCATCGCACAGACCATTGCAGAACTCCATGAACAATCCACAGGTTTTAATGGGTACCAGTCAGGTTCCAGACAGGTCAAGTCTGATGCAGCACCCTCCAACAAGAGGATACCCACCTCCTTTACCGCAGTCATCACCATTCAACATCCCAATGTGGCAAATGAGGAATCCACGTCCTTCAGTACCTTCACCTGGATTGGCATCACAACAGCCTTATATTTCATCTACTGAGCCTACCACTGGGGCAGTCCCTTCCCTATCCCAAGGACCATTTGTTCCATCCACTGTGCCTACCCCTGTGAGGTCTTCAACTCCATTGCCAAGACAGCTTGTACCATTTCCTAGAGGGTTGGATGTGCCACTGCAACAGCCATTTTCATCACCAACTATGCCACTCCCTGTAAGGATTGGACCACTACCTCAAAGACATTCTAAACCTTCTTCTGTGCCTATCCCTGAAGGTACTATAACAACAACCCCAAGACCATTCACCCCTTTGTATGGGAGGGCAACTACACCTTCCCAGAGGCCACTAACACCTTGTACTGCACCACCCCCTGTGAGGACCACTATGCCACTTCAATCACCACGTGTCACAACTACTCACCCTTCTCCCATGAGGATCGCTGCACCACCCCATCAAACATTTACACCATCTCCTGTGCCATCTGTCGCTCAGAGGGTGCCTGTACCACCCCAAAGACCATTTCCACCCCCTGCTGTGCAGTCTGCTATCTGTGTCACTACACTACCCCAGAGACCGTTAGTACCTTCTACTGTGTCATCCCCAGAAAGGGCCATAGCACCTCCCCAACCACCATTTGCATCATCAACTCGGCCATCTCCTCTGGGAGTAACTTCACCTCCTCAAAGACCTTTTGCTCCCTCTACTATCCCTCCACCTGGAGGTTTCCCAACACCATCTCCACAACAATTTATTGCTCCTTCTGTGCCTTCTCCAAGAAAGGTCCTGTCACCTCCACAGCAATCAGTTCTTCCACAAAAAGTGTCACCACCTTCTTCCTTCAACAGCCCACCTAATGGAAGATTTCAACTAGTGCCTCAACAGCCATTTATAACCCCTTGTACACCTCCTCCAAGGGGAGTATTAACACCTCCCCAACTGCCATTTGTGCAGTCCACTGTACCTGCCATAAGAGGAATGACCATCCCTGGACAGCAGCCTTCACCGGTCATTAATCAGTCATGGCCAACACAAGCTTCTCAGCTATCTTCTCCCAGTTTATTTCAGGGACCTACTTCCGCTATCCCATCTTCTTTACCCTCCCATAGTGGTGTTTCTTTCCCTATGCAGCAGTTTTCTCCTCCCAGCAATTCACCATTTCGCACAGCAAGTTCTGGGCCTTCTGCCTTAAGTCATGGACCTTCTATTGCAGCTGCATTGGATAGGCACATCATGGAGAAGCAGATGAGGGGTATCACAAAAGTGGGTGTGCCTAGGGAGGGTACAAATATGCAACCATCCCTTGCACCTAAGCAGTCTAGTTCCACTGGTCAGACAGCAGTCAAGAGATCACCAAGTCTGAGTAATATCCAAAAGAGAGCCAGTTTTCACACAGACAATGTGAGAGGAAGAGAGCACAGGAGCAGAAGGTTGGTCTGGTAATTAATATAACATTTATAAAGAAAAGAAATGATAAGCTACGATGACTAAAATGGAAGCCGTGAGATGAGTTATTCAAAGCACTGTTTTGCTTCTTAGATAAGTAAATATGAGTTGGTTTTAAATTTTTTTGTTTGATCTCCCCTAACATCAAGTACATGTAAATACGTCCTGTCAATTTTTGCTTATTATTATCGTTTTTTTTTATTGAAAGGCATTACAGTCCTGCGTCACATGGCAGTAGACCTCGAGTTTCCCGCTGTTTTTCCCCTCCTCCCCCTGACATAGAACGCATGGTGAAGTGTGTGGTGGCAGAGGAATATTATATCAAGAAAAAGGATGACCAGGTAAAATAGTGTTTTCTAAGTATACCTTTGTCTTAAAAATTCTCAGTCACCATGTGAAAGTCCTATTTTTTCCCATTTTGTTGAATAATAATGATCTGTTTCTTTTGGTTTCCTTAGTCAGTATGGTGTTTTGATTAATTGTTTTGTTTGCAGTTCTTTTTTATCTTAACACTGCAAGCCCCAATGAATACAGATTATCCAAACAGATCTCCACATATTTCTTAAACTATAAGTGGAGGGAATCTGTGAAAAGATCAAAGCACTTTCCCTTTAGTGATCATCTTATAAATTCTCATAGCCATTCTCTTGACTATGTATTGATTTTGTTACGAGAAAACTGATGTTGGTGATTCTTTGGACTTAATAGACCAAATGCAAAAATTGCCACAGTAGTTCATATTCTTTTGTTAATATTCAAATCGGCCTTGCTAGCCTTGTTCTTAAGTACAATATTCAAAAGAATACCTTATCTCAAGCGAGGCTTTAATCTAAACAAAAGAATATTAACCCAGCAGCCATTTTTGCATTGGGTCCATGGGTTAATCTTTTTTACCGTAGATGGAAAGCTGTCATGTTGAAGGAACAGACAACCTCTCTGAACTGCATAACAGATTTAAGAAGGAGATATTAAACATGGAATCCCTAGGACGAGCTGATGATGACACTGAGAGTATTAACAGTGAGAGAAGTCATCCTTCTGATCAATATAACAGTGATGTAGAATCTCTGGGTGAAAGTGATGTTACTAGAAGTGGAAACCCAGTAAAGTCGAGGCTCCGACTCTTTCCAAGTGATGATGAAGAAAACAGTGATGAAGACAGTAGTGATGACGACAGCCGTGCTTTGAGTGACAGCAGCGCTGAAAGTGATAATGGCGAAGGTGGAGACCTAAGTGGTGACAATGATGATGACGATGATGAGGAGGATCATCATGTCAACAAAGGTCCAAGTGTAGCGGAGATAAGGAGGAGAAAAATTGAAGATCCCCGGCGACTTCATCCTGAACTGTGGTTCAATGAGGCTGGAGAGGTACTGTAATATGTGAAATTTGATGTGGCTCATTTAAGGCTGTGATTCATAAAATATAATAAAAAAGAAAGAAATTTACAGTGCTGAATAAATTATTATTAACTCCAATTTTATTGTTACTTTAATTCAATTCACTGGACTGCACTTAGTATTTTAGAGGAGACCTGTCTGACCTGTCACAATCATGGGTTTTTGACATGTTTATCACATTCATCGAGAACTCCACGCACTGAAAAGTTTAGAGCTTAAAACTATGGTTCAGAATTTTCAGAATTTTTTAACCTGATAGAATCTTTCTTGATGTGCTCTTTTGTGTGTTTAGGTTTTCTAAAGCCTCTTTTAATGCCCTGACATCTTCATTCATAATATTTTACAACCTTGATGCCATTTAGGCGCTGAGACGTACGCAATTCTGCCATGGCAATTTTGTAATTTCACATGTAAAATTATAAATTAATGTTGGAAGTTTGTTCCAAAATCAAGGAGTAATTTGATATCCGTTAATTATAATTTAAAATTTTAGTAATGATTTCTTTACAACTTTGTTTTTGGATTGCTTGACTTTTCCTTTTGTTAACCAAATGAAATATTTAATTTTATAGACAAATGATGGCCCAGTCTGCCGATGTAGTTCATCTGACAAACGTCAAGGAATTCGCCATGGGGTTTACCCTGGTGAAACTGTAAGTATGCATATAATGGGCAACCTCCACCCATAGCTTAGAGCAAAATAATGCATTCGCTTTTAAAATTGATTTATTTTTTCATTAGGTTATCACACCATGCTACCCCATGACCAACAATGCTGACAAACTACATCACTACTGGGTGACTGTCACACCACACACTAACTTTATGGTAAGTTTCAACATATTCAGACCTTTGGCCAAAAATAAATGACTTGCTATGAATTAATGTGAGTGAACATTTCAATGCCAGTGTAAAAGAAAATATTATAACGAAGTTTACATTTCAATTCTTTATACGGATAGTATGAGTTAAGCATTTACTATAATATTGCAGTGTACTTGTTAGTTACATGTATTTCAATGATCTCTTGATAGCGCTGTTGACAATTAAGACTAAAAATTGCAAAGAAAGGCTTGATTCAAAGGTTGAAGATGAGAACTCCACTTCTTGTGGTTCAGTTTCATCCTTGGTTTCAGTTTTATTTTTGTATAGTGTTTTATGTCGGACATAACCGTAGACAAGCAAACTTTTAAGGAAAGTACTTAAAATTCAACCAACTGTACAAACCATTGACAAGTGAGAACTGAACCAGTTTTTTTATTTGCACTTTATTTTTTTTTCATTTCCTTCTCAGTATTACACAGAGAAAAGGCTTTTCTTGCAAATTCTGCATGATAATCGAAAAGAGAGAAATGAATTTGCTTTGGCCATTCCGGTCCATGGCTGTACATAGAAATATTTCACACTAAATGGCTCAGCAATGTATTTATGTGGAAATATTTACATACAACTTCTTCATCCAGTATTGATCTATCCTTAATTTGTACATTATTAATGACTAGATTATTAAATTCTGTTGTCATTGTAGACATCAAATCCAAGTATAATCTATTCTGAGGGAAAAAATTACACCTTTGAGGGCTTTTCCATGTTTTCTCATCACCCACTTGAGCAGGTGAGGATTTAAAAACTAAACAAAAGGTGACAAGTGTATGTGTTTCTTCAAAACCTTTGTGCCTGCTTGATTAAAATAAACTGTACTCCATGCTTTGATAACACTGGTAAATTTGCAGGTTTTTCAAACATTTTTTACAAACAATTTCCTTATAAACACTTACTGTACCTATAATCATGTTACACTGTTTTTTAAGTTTGTGATTTATTTCTGATTTTTTTTTCATTTGTTCTAAGCTTCTGTTGATTGCCCAAAATATATAGCTATTTATGTCTAACTGTAACTGCTATAAGAAATTAAATAATTAACAGGTATTGGATTAGGTTTAGCAAAATATTGTGATTTGTCAGTGACGAGCAGATCAATTATTTACTGAAGCCAAAGGCTGAGGCAAAAGATTTATCTGTGAGACAGTTATTTGTAGGTAACATGGTAGGCTCTCGGCCACTGAAAAAGGAGAAAAATTTGCATTGAATGATAAAGACATTTATTTCAATGTATTGCCAAATGGTGTTTGTTACATTTTTTGCTACATCATTGTTCATTCTTTGCATTTTCTGCAGGTACCCCTTTGTTCTGTGATAAGATTCAACATTGAATACACTCTACATGTTATTAGTCAGCCAGTCCCAGAGGTGAGGATCTAATTTTTGAGGAGAAAATTCTGAGAACTCTCCTTGCTATTTTCCGTGGCCACACACCAATGTCAATATAAATGGTACTTGCAGTGACTCAAGCCGACATGATTTTCACCAGTAAAGCAAGCACAAGTGCAAAGTTAAGGGATCTTTTCTTTCCAAAGGACTACAATCTGCACAAATCAGAAGGATCAGAATTTTTTCTTTTCTTGTTTTAACTGCTCATTTGCATGTTCTTGTGCTAGTGAAATCACACTAAAATGCTTTGATTCCCAGGTCAATAAAATGTTGATTATAAAACATACATGTGTACCTCTAGCTGTTGAGTGGACAGAATCTGTGATCATTCATTTGAAGGCCAAAATGACAAAGGGGTCAGTACTTTTTTGTGATGCTTTCAATAATGCTGTATGAGGTGGTTCTAACTATTAATTTCATTGGTGAAATCCTTTGCTTGTTACCATTCGACAATGTTAAATAGACCTCTTCAGCATTACTTTTACTTGTTGCTTCCATTTCCAACCATTTTAGAAAAAAAAGGAATAAAATTAGTCACTAATTGTTGCTAGTTTGTCTCTTAAGTTTGCTCGTGAGTTTTATTACAAAATTAATGTCATCTCTTTCAGAATTTCTGCGTGAAAGATCTTGAGCTGTTTTCAGAATTTCTGTTTTATAAAGTGCTTGAACTGGCTGACTGGAACTTCACAGGTATGTATATACATGTTACTAGACCTGATAGAATTGGTTCAGATCTAACAACAGGATATTAGCTGCAAGCATAAAAGTCGCAGGTCAAATAGCATTGTTGTAGTTTCTGTTGTGCTTTGTTTCAACCAAAATGTTTCTGTTATAACAATAATAGCAGCTGAAGTTACCTTTAGTAGTAGCGATTAAGTGAAATAAGAAAAACGTGTACCTTTAAATTGAAAAAAAAAACCCAAACCATTGGAAACCTTATTTTCGATCAGGTTTTGCCAGTATTACACCCGCATACCTTTTTCCGTTGCTCAGATATTCCCTTTACTGGTTGGGAACCAAAAAAAAGGACTCTCCAACTCCTGAAGTATTTATGCATGTATTACTTGTATAATTTAACTCATAAGACAATTCTTCTGCAGGGAATGTACAGGATTCATGTAGACGTTACCACTTTATGCCAAGATTTGTTCATAGAGCTGATGGTTAGAGCATGTTATCACTTTTATCGTTTTCGTCATTTTAATATCATTTGTTTCTAAAATGTCTAGAAAGTAGTAGTGTTATAAAAAGCATGAGTTTAATTTTGTGAACAGTTTGTCAAACAGGTAGAGCCTTTAGCTTTGTTTTACAACTGTCTCCCACTTTTTTTTTGGACAGGAGACAAATATGTTAGGTACTAGGCAGATTCGTTAGTTGTGGAATTGCATTTTTCATAAACTGGAAACACAGTGTATCAAATAATTATAATGAAGCAAAAATTAGACATAATAAAGTTGCATCCCTCTTGAAAATAATCGGATTTTTTCAGTCATTCCAATACTCTTTATCGCAATGAAGTTGCTTGGGCAAATTCTACAGACAAGTCCTCATTTACCTGCTTCAAACCACAAATCTTTTAAAGTAGATATTAAGGGTTGCCTAAAGCATTGCCAACTTTTTAATTCTTTGCGTTCATTATTTTCATGACACTGTTGTTTTTCTTTGCTCAGACACTGATGATTCCAAGGCCTGCCACGAGCTTCTCTCAATGAGCCAAGTGTTGTCTCATGTTCTGAGTTCAGCTGAACCTCTCATAAAGGTAATAATGCTCGAAAGTGAATGCCAGAAAGGCTTATGTTTGTCTTCCTATCTTAGCGAGGATTCTTTGGTAAGAAGTTGAATTCTTCATGGAAATGATCTTACTAAATAGGATTCACTTTCAGTTCTTCTTTGCTCTTAACCTTTCTTTTGTGTCTGGCAGCCAAGTCATTTCGAGCTCAGCGCTGAGAAATGGGAAGAGTACAACAAATCCTGCAAAAATACAATTGTCCTGAACCCAGACAAGGTGAGGTGCAAGTTTCTTAATCGTCCAGGAAGCAAACATTTTATTGTCAGTCCTCTAGGGATAAAACAGTCTCTTTCACTGTGCCTCTATTTTTAATAAATTTCCTGCCGTGTGTTGGTTACTGATATAATTTCCTCGTATTTGACAACAGAAGCCAGCTGCTATAAGGGTTGATGACCTACAGTTCTGTAAGACAAACAAAGGCTTTTCGAAAGGCAAGGTGAGTTGGTGTTAGAAGTGTGTGAGTGTAATGAAATTCCTTATTCAAAGAAAGACTCTTATCTCAAGACTGTGTCGTTACTATTAAGTTGTAAATTCTGTTGTTGCCAAATGTAAATTCGTCTTGATTGTAAAATACTATTGCTGCTTGTGATGCTGATCCCAACTCAAAACTGAAGAAGCTTATAGACCTTGCTATTCCTAAATGTTTTTCAATTGCTGACGTTCTTCCGAAAGACCTGTGGAACTTGTTGACGTAGATCACTTGAAATGTGGAGTACAAAGCCAGTACAGTTTTAGATGTTACGGTTGCCTGTTAAGTTCGGTAATGTCATATTTCATTTCACTTTATCAGCTATACCCGTATATAGTCCATCACAGTATTAGGCCAGTGCAGATGAGTTTTGCAGGAGATCCCAAGTAAGTCCTTTCTCATTTGTTTTTCTTATCGACAACGGCGACATTTTCGTTTGCATCGCTGTTGTCGTATTGTAAGGTCCCTGACGACTCCAGATCTTTACAAAAGTACCTTGTTAACCATCTTTTAACCAACTTAATTGCTTCACCTAAATCCTCGCGTTAGAACAATAGATCCTTTTGTTGCTTTTTAAAACTTTTGACATTGGACCGTTTACCGAGAATCCGTCAACTTCACTGCAAAGCGCTTCTTAAAATCAGTAGAGTTGCCAAGTTTTAGAATGATTTGTTTGTATGCTGGGAGCAAGTTTGCGCCTCCACCATACAATCGTCTGTCGAATTTCTCGAGTCTGTAAAGCTATATCTTCGCTTGCTTTAGATGCAGAATTTTCAAACTTGGTAAGTTTACTTATGTTAAGGCGCTTTTTCCAGCCCTGTTGATTTATATTCCCACTTTGTCTATCTCAAAAGATGAAGGAAGTGTTTAAGGGTCTATTTAGTACCCGCTATACTACTTACATCTCGGACCAAAAACTGTGAAAGGTTCCGCTTAGGACCCGCTATACTACTTTCATCATGGACCAGTTCTTTTGTTAGCATTTCGTTTTTGTTAGCTAGTTTTTAGAAGTCGTTCGTACAACTAGCCAGCAAAAGTGCAATAAGCAATATTTAGAGAAAAGGAACATCTTTACGAGAGGAATCGTACCTGCCGAAAAAAAAAGGATTTTCAAGTAGGCAGGAGAATCCGAATGAAAGAATTATGGATAGTCTATGTACAAGATACATGCGAGCCACAATGGAAATAATAGCACCTTTAAGCACTCACATTTTGGTAATTTTTTTTTCAGGTACCAAAAGTTACTTAGGACTCACAACAAGTTAAGAAGCCTCATCTCCAACACGTAAGCAAATTTCCTTGATTGTTACATGAAGTGCGGGTTACATGCGAAAATAATATTGTGTGATTTCTTAAACTTAATGTTATTTCTTTTCAGGCCAATACCGACTCGTAAGAATCAAGATAAGCTCGTTAAATTAAAGGTAAGTGTAAAATGTTATAAATCCGTTAATTTCCCCCCAAAAATATTGCTAATATTTCATCCACAGAATCAAAAGTTAGAACTGCATACTAAATAAACAATACGGTAAGGAAGTACTGCTGAAGAGGTTTCATTTGAATGGTCACACCACAGGGTTTCATACACAAACTCAAAATTTAGCTCTTCGTACTAAACAATCAATAGTATATGAAGGAACTGCTCAGTACCTTTCATTTGAATGGCTGAGGCACGTAAGGATTTTATCCACAACCTAAAAGTAGCCTGAGAAAACACCCGATATTCCACGACGCCACTACTGGTCTCCGCGCGAGGGAACGCAAAGTGACCTCTGAGGAACGAGCGCAGAAATTCTGTGCTGATAACGCGTCACTACCCAGATTTATGTAGTGCTTCTTATTGGTCGTGCCGTGAGGGAAATTTGCTTCAGCCAATCAAAAGCACTACAGAGATCTGGATAGTGACACGTCAGCAGTTTGGAATTTTTGCGCATGTTCCTCAGACGTCATTTTGTCGGGAAAACCAATTGTGGCGTCTCGAAATGTCGGCTGTTCTAACAATAACCTACAAGTTAACACAATAATTTACTCTAGCCTAGGGATCTTAACTGCAAACTGATCGCCACCATTTGTGCTTAACTTTCAGATTGAGCTAGAGAACATGCGCCTGACAAGGTAAAGATAAGCTCAGCGATAACGAATTATTTTGTGGCGAGAGTCAGACGATATTTTTGTCAGTCGTTTTTCATTTCTTTCGGCCTCTAAGTTAAACTGTTTTCCTTTAGGAAGTCTTTAAGAGTCTGCTTTTGTTTCAGTGCAATGCGCCGTGATGTAGTTGTAGAGGTGAGCAGCAGAGGCATGGTCAAAACAGGATTAAAATCTGATATCTGTCAGGTGAGTTGATTGCTCTGATATATGTTAATTTTCAGGTGACGCCTCAAGGGAACAACTCAAAGTACATCTCACTGGGTGATTCTCTGTATTTTGGGTTACCCCAATTTTCTCTTTTTATTTCAATATTCCCATCCAAGCCCCTCCTTCGTGCCTCTCACAACCAACGTTAACTACATTTGTAGTGAAAAACAAATTTGATTGGTTCAGGGAATGGTGGCTTTAAAAGTTGTGCAACTTGGCAACGGAACTTATTTTCGTTAGACCTGTTGATATGAGAAACGCGTTCTTGACGCACGCGGGCGAGTCCAACTGTAGTGTTACTCAGGACTGATAATTCCCATTGTTCTCTTATCTTCCAGCACGCTCTCCTGCTTCCTGTGCTAGTTCATCATGTTCGCTACCACTCGAGTCTTCACTCACTGGATGAGAAAATGGGTTACGTGTTCAAAGATCGCGCCTTACTTCAGGTAAAATACAAGTTGAGTGACCTTCCTAGTTACCAGGGCCTCTTCTTTGTGTCACCTGGAGCGAGATACTGGGGCGGGCGGACGCGAAAAAGAGGGGCCCTGGGAACAAGGTTGGCAGATGAGCTCTGACTGGTGCATTTTATTCTGTACGTATTCTTTAACTATCTAGAAGAAAAACGACAAAAAGCGTACGGGCAACATACCTTGCTGTTTCTTGTGTGAAATTAGGCTAAAAGCCAGAAACCAAGAAAACAAAAAACACGAGTTTGCAACAGATTTTACGCAAAGTGCTAAGCATTCATAATAGATGAAGAACATGGCAAAAGTTCGTCTTTTTCTAGATAGATTAAATCAATTGTACGAGAAAGATTCAGCGTCCACTGGACAGTAGGTCGATTTCTTTAGCAAACAATTCTATACAGATATTTCATCCTGTTTGATTTACCACACCAGGAACAAAAAAACCAAACCCATGTTCTTTTCCTTGAAGTTATCCAATGAAATGAGCTGTATTTTGGTTCTTATTTAACAGCTCGCGTTGACGCATCCTTCGTATCATCTTAATTTTGGTATGAATCCAGACCACGCGCGAAACTCTCTTTCAAACTGTGGTGTAAAGCAACCTCGATATGGAGACAGGAAAATACGACGTCTACACACGCGCAAAAAAGGTATGGCATGAGAATTAACCATGACCAATGCAGCCTCAATACTCTAGCACTCCCCAAATTACACAGTGGACGCGTGAAGCAGCGTCATTTTGGCGGGAAAACGCGATAGCCGTCGTCATTCCACTACGGGGTTTTAGCCCGGATGTCGTCGCTATAATGATAACTATAACTATAATGAAGCTTTCTTGGATGTCTAGTTTTTGAACATACGCGAAAAAATCTTTAAGTCAAATGTCGTTCTCTAATCTAAAGATCTCTAACGGATTGTCTTTGAATACTCGAGGAAGTTAAAACGAATTGTGCTTTTTTGTGTGTGTGCTTAGGCATCACGCAGCTTATCCGAGTAATGTCCAATCTGGGAAAAATGGAGGAACATCAGTCAATGTAAGTTTATCCTAACTGTTTTCACCAGGCCATAAATAAGTCTATTTAACTACTGCTTAGCGATATGTTTTAAAAACGACGTTTCCCGCGTGGATGGAATAACCCATATGCATGATGACGTCAGACTTGCTTATTCACCACCAATCCTCGTTGCGAAAAAATTCTTTGCATTTTCACCGTTTGTGCGTGAATATTCTTTTCAATTTAAGAGCCAGTCTCTGTAAGATCCTCATATCGAGTTTTGCCCACAAAATGGATTTCGCTCATAATTTTTTTGTAGACTTCTTTTAATAAGTATATAACAAATAGGAAACTAGATTGGGGAAATTCGCTTCTGTTAATTTTTTTAACGAATTTTCTTTCGGCGCCACACGAGGACCTGAGATGCTTGTGAAATATGCAAATTCTGTCAAAATTCAACCGATTGCAAATGTTATATAACATAACATATTTTATGTTATATAGCATAACATAACATGACACATGTTATATAACATAACATGACACACATTATATAACATAACATGTTATAACATATTTTATGTTATATAACATAACAGAACATATGTTATATAACATAACATGACACATGTTATATAACATAACATGACAATGTTATATAACATAACATGACACATGTTATATAACATAACATGACACATGTTATATAACATAACATGACACATGTTATATAACCTAACATGACACATGTTATAACATATTATATAACATAACATAACATGTTATAACATATTATGTTATATAACATAACAAGACATATGTTATATAACATAACATGACACACGATATATGACATAACATGACACATGTTATATAACATAACATGACACATGTTACAACATATTTTATGTTATATAACATAACATATGTTTTATAACATAACATAACATGACACATGTTATATCACATAACATGACACGTTATATCACATAACATGACACGTTATATAACATAACAAAACACATGTTATATAACATAACATGACACGTGTTAAATAACATAACATGTTATAACATATTTTATGTTATATAACATAACAAAACACATGTTATGTAACATAACATGACACACGTTATATAACATAACATGTTATAACATCTTATGTTATATAACATAACATATGTTTTATAACATAACATAACATGACACATGTTATATCACATAACATGACACGTTATATCACATAACATGACACGTTATATCACATAACATGACACATGTTATATAACATAACATGACACATGTTATATAACATAACATGACACATGTTATATAACATAACATGACACATGTTATATCACATAACATGACACACGTTATATCACATAACATGACACACGTTATATAACATAACATGACAAATGTTATATAACATAACATAACACATGTTATTTCATGAATCACACATTTTCTTTTGTTATTGAACATCGTTTATTTCACTTACATACTTCATGAATATTTAACTAACTGAAAGTCCGGGGAAGGCTTGATAATGTAGCAGGAGCGGGGCTGATGAATTGAATAAATTGCTAATTATAAATGCAAGGGCAATATCTATATAAATACCCGGTATTTATCTGTATATTGCCCTGCTGCCCTGGGCAATATACAAATAAATCCCTTCCATTTATAATGAGCAATTAAAGCAAATCATATACGTCCTTTGACCCCGCCAAACATTCTGAGAAAATTTCTCCCTTTAACACAAATATAGAAATTTATTCTGCAACTATAGAAAATACAGTAGTATCCCATATATCATGCAGGCTATGTGTCCACTCTAAGAAAATTTTAAGTCTTTGGAAAATTTCGTCGTCACTTACACGCTTCCAGGTTCTTTCTTCTTCCGAATTTCCAAAACAAACTTCCCAAGCCAGTAGTCAAGCTGCTCATTAGCGACTTTCTTAATGTCAGGATTGACTTCGTAGTATTTCTCTTTGCTGCTATTCTTTTTAACTTTTACATTGCGTTCGACGACGCATTCCTCCCAGCAACGTACCGCCCATGAAGTATTAACTTTCGTGTTTGCCGGTATTCTGGGCTCTCTTCTCTTCTCGACTTCGTTATCACAAACAACAACGATATTACGCCCAGGATTTTCTTTCTTTTCGACTTCAACACTATCTCGTTCGCTTACTTCTCTAAAGTCTCCCACTAACTCTCCCAAATTCAACTCAGGGGGAAAAGGCTCCTGAGAGAAAGTATTTTGCGTTAGGAAAATTTCGTCGTAACTATCCATTGCCGCTCTCACAAGTGTACTGGCCCCCCAAAAAATACCAAGACAAAAATAAAAAAGCACAAAAGGTTTGAAATTTGATTGTTGTCGGCTTAGCAAACAAACAATGCGCTATTGTTCTCCGTTTCTCACCTAGGTGAGAACAAGTGGTTTGAACAAATTATGACCCGTGAAACGCCCTTTCTCGATGCTGTGTGAAAACCTTTACAATACTTACAATGAAATACGTCTGACTCATTGTCTGCGTTCGGATCAAAAAATGACAAACAAACAGATGTCAAAAACAAGTGGCCAATTATTGCCCTGTGAAAGACGACCTTTATGTAACCTATACCTCATGAATAATATCATGAAATAAGTTAGATAAACCCCTCGAACGTCGGTATTAATCCATATATATGGCTTAATAATATCCATGTATATGGCTTAATACCTCCGTCCTCGGGCTTTATCTCTTACTTATATAACCTAACATGACACATGTTATATAACATAACATGACACACGTTATATAACATAACATGTTAAAACATATTTTATGTTATATAACATAACAAAACATATGTTATATAACATGACACACGTTATATAACATAACATGACACACGTTATATCACATAAAATGATACATGTTATATAACATAACATGACACATGTTATATAACATGACATGACACATCTAATATAACATTATATGACACGTTATATAACATAACATGACACACGTTATATAACAGAACATGTTATAACATATTTTATGTTATATAACATAACATATGTTATATATGTTATATAACATGACACATGTTACATAACATGACACGCGTTATATAACATAACATGTTATAACATATTTTATGTTATATAACATAACAAAACATATGTTATATAACATAACATGACACATGTTATATAACATAACATGTTATATACGATATTTATTTATATAACATAACAAGACATATGTTATATAACATAACATGACACATGTTATAACATATTTTATGTTATATAACATAACATAACTTTTTTTATAACATCACATATTGTGTTATATAACATAACATATTTTATGTTATATAACATAACATGACATATGTTATATAACATGTGTTATATAACATATGTTATATGTTTTATAATGTTATATAACATATAACATATGTTATATAACATTATAAAACCTTTACAATACTTACAATGAAATACGTCTGACTCATTGTCTGCGTTCGGATCAAAAAATACAAACAAACAGATGTCAAAGACAAGTGGCCAATTATTGCCCTGTGAAAGACGACCTTTATGTAACCTATACCTCATGAATAATATCATGAAATAAGGTAGATAAACCCCTCGAACGTCGGTATTAATCCATATATATGGCTTAATAATATCCATGTATATGGCTTAATACCTCCGTCCTCGGGCTTTATCTCTTACTTATATAACCTAACATGACACATGTTATATAACATAACATGACACACGTTATATAACATAACATGTTAAAACATATTTTATGTTATATAACATAACAAAACATATGTTATATATGTTATATAACATGACACACGTTATATCACATAACATGATACATGTTATATAACATAACATAACACATGTTATATAACATAAGATGACACACGTTATATCACATAACATTATACATGTTATATAACATAACATGACACATGTTATTTAACATAACATGACACATGTAATATAACATAATATGACACACGTTATATAACATAACATGACACACGTTATATAACAGAACATGTTATAACATATTTTATGTTATATAACATAACATAACATATGTTATATATGGTATATAACATGACACATGTTATATAACATAACATATGTTATATAATACCTGTTATATAACATAACATGAAATATGTTATATAACATAACACATGTTATATAACATAACAAAACATATGTTATATAACATAACATAACATGGCATACGTTATATAACATAACATGACACGATATATGACATAACATGACACATGTTATATAACATAACATGACACATGTTACAACATATTTTATGTTATATAACATAACATATGTTTTATAAGATAACATATTGTGTTATATAACATAACATGACAATGTTATATAACATAACATGAACATGACACATGTTACAACATATTTTATGTTATATAACATAACATAACATGACACATGTTATAACATATTTTATGTTATAT